CAGGTAAAGGCGTATGTCAGTCTTGAAAAAGCTCTTTACACTTTGATGGTGAAAAGTGCATACCATACTTCGACGCTTCAATCGCCATGCGGTTGTGTGCAAGTTGGACGGCCTGCGGATTGAAGCCCAGCAAGAGGGTATCATCAGTGTAATCCAAATCGACCACCCGACTACCTGGGAGAAGGTCAGCGGCAGTGTTCAACTAGTCTTCTAGCGCATTTTTGAGGATATCCTCAATGGTAAAGTTGAGGAGAAAAGGAGAAATAAGGCATCCTTATCAAACCGCACTAGTGACAACATAGGAAGGCGAAAGCTTGCCATAAGCCCTAACTTTGCCCCAGGTCAGACTATGCACAGCACACCGTACGAAAACGAACTACCCGTGAATGCCAATTCTCAACAGACAGTGCCACAATGCAGCGCTGCCGACAGAATCGAAAGCAGCATGGATATCCAGAAACGCGACATGTGTTGGCTTTTGGTAAACTAGGTATTACTCGAGTCTCTGGCGGCGTGTGAAAATCTGACCAATGTAGCGGCAACCAGGGCAGAATCCAGCCTGTTCTTCTCGCTGTAGCGCTTTACGCGTTGGGGCTAGCCTCCGAAGAATGATGGACACCAGGATCTTGCAAACGACGGGAACCAAGCTTAAGCCCCTGTAATTGTAGCAATTTTTGCGCAGACCCTTTTTGAAGATGGCGTAGACTATCGACTCACTCCTGGATGATTGAACGTCCTCTTTTGCCTAGACTTCTGAGAACAAAGCGGTATGGAACCAGCTAGCATATTCGCTTAAGACCGTTATCCCTTCTATCTCCATATGTAATATGTTTCGCAGCTCATTCTTGCCATATTTGTTACTATTTATCGTTTACCTTCTAACCGCTGATATTGTGCGTTTATCTAGGCTATTTTTTGTGCTTTGTGCACAATTCCTCCGGTGTTGTATGCCGCCACTCGGTCATAATTCGTCTATGATTTTGATTCCTCAGAATCCTTTTTTCGAACAGTTCCAAGCTTCCTCGTTAGGACTTGATCTTGGGTGTGTTCGTTTTACTGACAATGTTCATTTAGTTTATCAGCATTTTTACAGAATTGGCTTTCCGATATGTTACTATTTTAACTTATGATTGACTGGTCTTTCGATCAAGGCTTTCTCAGCGGCTGGGGATGTACTCACTGACGTTTGATAATAATTGTTTGCAGAGAATTGTTCGTGTGTCGGAGGAGCACCACCAAGTCACGCCACCTCACATCCCACGCATACTGTGCATGCGATGGTTGCGCCACACCCTATTCTATCACACAGGACTGCACTGGAAGAAACCGACATGTCAGTAAAATTTTCGTATACTGACTTGTTTAGCCATCACCATTCTCGTGGGCTTCCTGGCCAAGGGCCCGAGCACGAAAACCGTTGCTGCTCGCAACACTTCAGGACCTTTCGCGGAATGTAGCTCATTAGAAGACTATAAACTCATCTCAATTCAGCTGTTTAACATCGCAAGTTAACAAAAAACGGCAAAAGCACGTCAGCAACAAATCATATGAGCCTCCTTTCTATCCGTTTCCTTATTACTTCTGCTTATACTATAGCTTTCGATGGCTCCCTGCTTTCCCATATATATATATATATATATATATATATACCATGGAAGTTATCTCCGTACTAAACATATTGCCCCTAAAAGCCACGAAATGAATGTACTCAGTAAGTCCAAAATGTACCAAGGGAAAACGGTTGATTGAAAATGTGTTTTTCACACGCTGTTTTGCGTTTTATTGTCATTGTAATGATTGCGGTAACATCACTTCATAAATTCATGCGAATAATCCATTGAGTGTTATTCAGCGCGGTGTGCCCAAGGGTTTCCAATCGATGGTGTTCTTCGTTCGTGGCTTCCCAGTCTGGAAGACGTGCGTTAATGACAACAACCGAACCTGAAGTCGGTGCTTTGACCATGTGGTAGGCTGACTAACACGCGACTTATTTCATTACGTCCCTGCCTGAACGAACAAAGCGCACCGTGGTTGTCTCTCACACATCGTGCGTATGAGGTGACCCAGCCATCTCAGTTGGCGCAGCGGTACTATCCTTTCAATAGGAAAACCCGTATTCGCCAAGGCTCGACGTTTGACATTGTCGTTACAATAGTGGGGTCTCCACCACATACGAGCTATCCTCCGCAAACAACTCTTGTCTTAGGCCAAAATCCGACTTATCTCATTTACAGGAATTGGATAAGACTCACTTCGTACAACAGCCCTGCATGAACACAGGCATCGTAGACCCTGCAACGTACCAAGAGTAAGATGTCCAGACGACGCTAAAGATGTCTCAGATCGGTGAACGCTGACCATGTTTGGGTAGCGCGGAAATAAATTTCCCTTTCAGTGATTCTATCAGCAGAAACCCAGCTCCCAAGATAGACTAAGCTACCTTTTTCTTCAAGCTGTGTGTCTTCAAAGGTCGGCACTTGGACAAGTGGATTCCAATCCTGGAGTAGAACTTTGCAATTAGGTGGGACAAGTCATGCCATGATTAATAGCTTCAATCACCAAACAGCTTATAATGATCTACGTACTCTATGGGTCGTCACTGAGCAAAGCACTATCATTAGCATAGTCCGTCAGTCGCGCGTTCACCTAGAAGTAACTCTACACCATAACTATGGAGACCTTCCAGAGCACTCAATAGGACATCCCTAACCGCAAAATTGAAGAGAAACGAGGCATGAGGTATCCTTGCGCACACCGTTAATGACGGCGAATGGTGAGGAGAACTGACCATAAGCTCTCACTGTGCCAGAGACGTTGTTGCACAAAGCTCAAAGTATGGCCGTATACTTTTCGGATACCCCATTCCTTTGCAAATAACGCCATAAAGCAGGCCGGTCGACCGAGTCGAACGCAGCTCGGATGTCCAAAACGGCGTCAGTGATAGGCTGGCGGTAGAGCTGACACTGCTGAAGGAGTTGGCGGAGCGTAAACTGGTGGTGCACACCTTCGTCCAGGCGGAAGCCAGCCGGTTCTTCACGGGATTGTAGTTCTCCTATCGGTTTTTATTCTGTGGAGTGGAATGGATGTTAACAAGTCAGAAGCGATGGGAATTGGATTGATTCCTCGGGTTGATGCAAATGGTAACGCACCGTTCCTGAAGATCAGAGCGATACTCGACTCGTCACGATAGTTTGATGTTTTTCCTTCACATCGAATCTTGGAGAACAAAGCTGTTAACTGGTTGACAATTGCTTCGTCATCGCATTTGAATAGCTCCGGCGGAAACTTATCTTACTAAGCAGCCTTGAATCACTTCAAGTGACGACGCTCAAAACCGACCGCTTCGTTGGGTAGTTCCAGTGAAACGTTCCAATGCACGAAATTAGTCATACTTATTAGAAAGGCCAGCTGAATTGAGAGGAAAAAGCTCAGTCCAGCGGTTCACACGCCTACTCAACTTGATGATTGGTGAGCCTTTAATCTCGCAAATAGCGTCACTGACTCCAGGTTTTTTCTGTGGCCAGTTGTCTAAATGGTCTAGAAAAGCTTGCGGAAGTTTCCAGAAAGAACTGGCATCTCGATCTCTGAAGCCCGTTGAGACCACCAAGTTTCGCGATCGTTTTGCATGCTTTGCTTCAATTGGCTGGCGTTGCGGCAGATTTCAACGTTGCTTGAATCAGCTGAGATAACTCGACGCCGGTCAAACAATTCCAAAGAGCGAGCAGAGATCCAGCCACTCAGAGAGTGCTTAGTACTTCTTCAGAATGGGTAGACGGAAGATCTGTCTGCAAGAAACGCCAATGAGGTTTGACGCCTGGAGATGACGCACTTTCCAAAGCATCTGATAAGTAAAATTGATGAACCAATTGAGGTCAGCTAGCCTGTTGCTATGGAACGTACGGTGCTTTGGTACCGAGGAACCCCAAATGCGCATGCATATATTTGCGCAGATCAACGCCTGATCTGATTTCAGGTAGGTGGACCAAATCGATCTGATATCCCGTACATTGCCCGCCTTCTGAAGTTGACCTCAAAGTGATCAATTTGTGACCACGTTTGGGTTGGCGAAGGGGGGAGTCATGTAGCTGTGTGTCTCTTCGAATGTCTGAAATTCATGCTCGGGTAAAAGAGCCGGTTATCCTCACATAATATGAGAAATCCATCTCAGTTGACAGAGCGGTCCTCATCAAGGGTGGGACCGTGACCATGGCAGCAGGCGACTGACTTGTACATTGAAATCGCGGGTAAAAACGACGACATTTTACTTTCCTATTCTACTCAAAAGCGGGTGGAGTCCGCGATAAGTCACCCTTAACTGATACACAACTGCAGTCAGTTGGAGTGTAGATGGGGATCACAAACGATTCACATGTTTGTTGCGCGCCGGAATCTCAGCTTTGTCACTCAATACAACGCCAATACCTATATATATATATATATATATATATATATATATATATATATATATATATATATATATATATATATATATGTATATTTATACATATATATAGATACTTAGCTTTATATATATATATATATATATATATATATATGACATACATCTAGCTGCCATACTTCGTCGTTGCGCCAGTTTGTAATAGGTTCTTCGTTTACGTCGCCATTGCTCCGAGAGCGCAGTTTTATTAGCCGGACACCGTTAGGCGCTCATCGCTGTACGGACCGGTCGCATTACTCCGGGACTTGTTAATGTTTGCGCACTGTCGACACCGTCCAGAGCCATACCTGTATGGATAATCCAGCTCCGTGCGATCGTAGCCACTTGCTTACCTTATTGGCTGTCAAACTGGCGGTGTCTGCTTGTTGCTGTTCCCGTCGACTTTCAGCTACCATCACAATTTGTTTGTGTTAAAAATCATCCTCACTTTTTACTGCCGTATTTTATTTTATCAAATGCAGACCCAATTAATACAGGTTTTTCGTCTTTTGGTTTTCCTATCCCTTTGCTGTATGATTTCTGACAGGCTTTTTCATTACAGCTCACGGTATGAACCATTGGCGATTTGTATCGGATTCGAACCTCTGCAACGGTTGCAAAATCTGAATGTTTTCATGGTAAGCCCCTGATAGACTGCCCTGTTCATCCTTCTTTGTAACTCTTTCCTCTTCCATCTCCTCTCTAGTTTATGACGCATATGTATTTGCGTACTTTACTCAACTTTAAAGCTGTCCAACTATTTTTGCTGTGTTATCCTTTGGGAATTCTTCATCCTTGCCCACATATCTGCTTCTCATCCTGTCGGGCTGAGTGCACAAGGTCTAGGGAACTGCTTTCAAAGTATAAGGGGCTCTAGCAAATTCTATCCCCACCTAACGCAAAATTGGCCTTTTCTCATGCTTACGCTTTGAAGGCATTGCTGGACAAATTTGTTGGTAGATTTGGTGGATAACGAAGTAATTAAAGAACATTTTCCCCCTGATAACTCATTTATGAATGTAAAAGAACTGAACCGTGACGTTCTGGTCCTAAAGTCATTTCATTTCACCAGTTATTCTCCTTTGGGTTCCTGTGTACTATCGACTAATCACTCACATAACAACAGCGCAATACAACACTGGTGCAGATCAAACGGGCCGAACAGTTTATCTGTCTTCCTCCCCTAACAATTATCTGGGATCTTGGCTCGGTCTTGTTATGCATTCAATTGCAAGGGATATTTGACTAGTGAGGAAATATCAGTCTGACACCAGTAAAACGATAAGGAACAGCATGTTGGCGTCGCTACAGGCGTTGCTGAGAGATTGCCATCGCAAACGAACTACATCTATTTCGTCTACCTTAGTTTGAGGTCTACTGTCGCCACAGCGGCTTACTTTGTGCGTTTAGCACGGTCATTGTTGAACAGAAAAGCTGATTTCATGATGAGTAACTTTCTTGAATACAGTGCTTCTTTCGATCTCTTCGACTGTGATATTTTACATCGCAGTCGACCTGCTTCAGGGATACTGTCTTTCCTAGTTCTGAGAAGTTTCTTGGTCAGACGCACTTAATTTGCTCGTGTTGGTATCCAAAGCTCTTCACCACTCATGGGGAAATCCGAAATTCTTCAAGGAATCGTCCTGTCGCCCTTTCTATTCTCCATCCGCATTTAAACTGCGCACACCGCGTGATGAGTTTCAGACATCTAACGGAAACGTTATCAACCAAGCTTCAAATTTATCTGGACGATCCCACATTTTGATCCATTCATCTTTATCGACCATCGAGTGGATCAACGCGTAATCATTTCACCGTCCTCCTCAGTAGCTCCTTGGGAATTGCATTTAGCTTCACATACATAATGAGTGTTTGCTCTCCCACACGTTACTGAGGTAATTTGGAGCTACACTAGACCACATGTAACTGACACAGTCACATGATCTCGAGCTTCTTGTTCTACGGTGCACTTTTTGCCTCCTCCTCCATATCCCGGTCTGCGCCTGCGTCCCCTCACAGCGTACTTTCTACCTCTTGGTTTCACTGCTTTTCGCTAACATTCAGGTATTTCAAAGTACCAACCAGATTAACGACTATATTACACTCAACCATTTGTTGTGTTATTGCATTCGGTTGCATTAATTCGTGTGGAAACAAGTAACTATCCGTATATCAGTCTCGTTGATGAGTCTGTCTCTGGGTTGATTTCTGCTGCCTGAGTGAAACGCGACTCCATGACTCCAACTCGGTCTACCAGCTGGTGTCACCGCTCCATCCACGCACCCGCTTCCAACTCAGCCTCTCTGGTGACGCCAAGTCTGCCGCATCTGGCAAGCTGGTGTTGGAATCGCCGTCAGTGCTAAAGTTGAGGCTGCTCTGATTGATTGGATTCCGATCAATAGTCGCCTTTGTGCGATGTGGCTCCATGGCTTTTATAAAGTTAGCAGACGTCGAGTCGAAAAACGTGGTCTCTGCCTACGCACCCATTAACTGTAGCTCGGACACAGTCAAGAATCAGTACTACCAGAATGTTCATAAGCTGCTCCAAGGGCTCCTAAACCGGACATCATTGTTTTGGCAGGAGACATCAACGCGCGTGTCGGTCGTCTGCTGCCATGTGAGCTCACCTCGGGGGACTGCATGGATATGATGATGTTCGCTCAGACAACGGAGAGGGACTGCTCAGCCTGTGTGCTGAGCATCAGCTTTTCCTCTCCAGCACGAGTTTCCGTTATTCTGGACGCCAATACCTTACTTGGCGCCCCCCATCATCAACCCAGCGCTGGTCACAGATTGATCACATAGCCATAAGTCACAGGTGGCGCGGCAGCGTACGCGACTGCCGATCATTTTAGTCAACATGCTTCGATACCGATCATGCACTGGTATGTGCGACCGTTTGCATACGTTTTGGTTCTTCACCTAGGTTCAAACACACCCAACTGATCACCTACAAGCGGGAGGACACAATGGTGAAGAAGAAGTATCAACAAAGGCCTCGTGCAAATCTCGCTCTCTCCCACTCTGGATGTTGATCAACACTGGTCAAATCTTCAAGAAGCTGTCGGCCGGTTTCTCCAGCTGCGGCTTCGCTTTCTCCACTCCCAAAAGCTGGATCTCGGGAAGATTTTGTAATGGCTGGATCGCCGATGGGCGGTGCCTGCTAGCGCAGAGCACAACGAACACCGCCGGTCTATTACGCAACAGCTGAATGCAAGCCTTCGCTCTGATTGTGAATCCTGTAGTCAAAACGAGCTGATGACATGGAAGCCACTGCATGTGCTGGCAACTTCCGCCGTCTGTTTTGCATCATCAGGGCCACCGGTTGCAATCCCAACACTATCAGCCAAAGGATTTGTGAATCAGACGGTGCGAAGATTACCAACCTTCACAGGCAATTGGGTCGCTGGGCAGAGCATTTCGCTCTTCAATTCAACCATCCAACACAGCCCCCTCTGTGACATCTCCAACCCCAACGAATGATGCTTGGCCTGTCTCCACAGGCCCCCCAACTGAAGCAGAGATTCGAGATGCAATCCAATCTTTGAAACACCACAAAGCTTCCGGTCACGACAGCCTACCACCGACTATTCAGAGATGGTGGGGATGTACTTTATAGCGAAATCCTATCTCTGTTCACGAAGGTTTGGACTGAGGAAATGGTTCCGAACTCATGGAGAGGATCGGTCATTGTCCCGATTCATAAGAAAGTCTCTCGCGACGATTGCTATAACCACTGCGGAATCTCCTCTCTCTCTGTCGCATCCAAAATTCTCACAGGCTTTCAGCGACTAGAGAGGAGTTTTCCCGAGAAGAACCACCCGGATTTGGTCCAGGCCGCGGCTGCATCGACCAAATCTTCACGCTCCGCCAACTTCTTGGACGCCTTCACATCCACCAGCGGCCAACAATCGTAATGTTCTTGGACATTCGAGCGGCATTTGCTTCAGTGGATAGATCTGCGTTGTGGAACTGTTTACTGAAGAAATTTGTGCCCGACAAGTTTGTAACCATCCTGAAAGCATTTTACAACCACACTTCGGGCTTACGACGCACTTTCTTCCTCATTTACTGTGACCAGCGGTGTTCGCCAAGGTTGCTCTATTTCACTTTTCTTCTTCAATTTTGCCATTGAAGATGTCGTCCAAGGAGCACTGGAAGCTGTCTAGAACTGCGGTGTTTTGCTCCTCCCTGGAGACAGAGTCACGGACTTGGACTTCGTCGATGCGGTCGCCTTGCTGGGGGACTACCCACAAATCGTCTACAGCCTTTTGGACCGCTTAGCGATCGAGACGTCTAAGTATGGCTTATACTTCACTCCGTGAAAATGTAATACGTTGCTCTAGGATTGGCAGGTGTCTACACCCGCGCTCACCATTGCTGGACATGTTCTGGAGCAAGTACCTTGCTTTAGTTAACTGGGGAGTTGCATCACGGCTGGTGGCGGTGTTGGGGAGGAAGTCTCACAACGGATTGTAAAGGCTTGCCTTGCATTCATCAAAATGAGACACCTATGGTGTCGTCGTGGTTAGTCCCAAGCTCAAGGGCAGGGTGTACATTGCTTTCGTCCGTGCAGTACTCTTGTAATGCTGAGACACCCTATTCGCTCGGAAGATATGAATAGTTGTCAGTCTTCGACAAACGCTGTCTACGATAAATTGCTCACGTGTGGTGGTAACACCACGTAACTAACGCAGCGGTCCGAGAGCGAGTGCTTGGAGCAAGTAGTGTCAGTCTTCCGAACAGTATTCTCCAGCACCGCATACCTGGGTTCGGCCACGTATTGCGCATGCCGGCCTATCGCCTTCCACGCCGAACGTTATTTGCGCTCCCCGGAAATGATTGGAAAAAGTGCCATGGTAGACAACCAGTGACCTGGAGAAGCAGCATGAGGAATACAACCTCAAGCTTAGCATCCGTCGGATGGGTCTGTCTTCCAGGATGGGGACCACGCGATTCGGACTGTCAGTGGTTAGAACCGTTGGAGGCTACAGCGCGCAACCGGCATCACTAGAGACAATGCTGTTCAACCGTGTTATCTATTAGTTAACGTCTCATGGAACATAAAACTCCCAAACACCAAAAATCCCAAAGCGGTGTGTAAAACCGAAGGAAGTCGTTTTCTTCATGTTGTACTTCATTTGCTCCCTTTATTTCCCTATGGTTCTGATGGCACATTATCTGTGATCAGATTGTGAATATATATATATATATATATATATATATATATATATATATATATATATATATATACTATCCCTGGTCTTGAGCCTAGCTCTCTTTGCTCGTCCTTTACTTAGCGCGTTTTCTGCTATATTTAAAGTTTAGTACTTAGGAGTTCACCTAATACTTCCACCGTAATTAGTTTCTTTCACATTTGCCGAAGGTATGTATACTACTTTTAACCATTCTCTCTTGTACGCATGGATCGCTTTGCTGATTTAACTGGTTGCGTTAGTTTCTTTATCATCTCCAAATTGTGTTACACAGCAGATAACTTCTGAGATGAAATGCTACAGGGGTTTTTCCTTTTATTTCATCTACTTATTTGGGATCTGTTTCATTCCCTTCGTTGCTCTTTAGGTTGGGTGCGGCGCAATCGGATGTGAGCTATTGAAAAATCTTGCTTTGCTCGGCGTCGCCACCGCTCAGTCTGATTCACGATGCCCTCGCTTTGCCGATTATGCCGGTTCAAAACCGGGTCTTAATACCGTTGATTCCTGCAAATTAGATTCTCTTCCCTCTGATGATTGCCGAGAGACAGGTGTAATCGACCAACGCTCCCTGTGTGACAGCTCAAACGAACTTGCCCGTTCCGCACGGTTTTGTTCTACTGAATCAATGTCTCCCCAATTACTCCCACTACATGCCGTAGCTGGCGATACAACCACTGAGGAAGGGGTTCCGCTTGGTCCAACTCTACCAGTTACCCAATCCATGAAGGAGCCCACAAATGAAATCGCTCCTGGTTACGGACCCGGGCTTGGAGCTGATCCCAACTCCGCCCACCTCTATTCCCCGTCGTCCCCACACACCTCGATTACTACTCCGATGGACCAGGCACCTCCATTCGTTGGCAAGGACGGCGATACTGTGAGGGCTCACACCAACCAGTTTACCGAACCTACAACCTTCACCCACAACACTGCGCATTTGCTTAATCTAACCACGAATCGACATCCAACATCCATGATGAGCGGAGAGGGTTGTTTGTCTACGAGTGAGTAACAAGAATGATGTTTTTAACTGTTGTGACACATTGGATTATATTCCCCTTCCGTCAACAACAAAGGAACTTTGTAGGTGAACTTGCTCCATTGCCATAGATCAATCTCCTCGTCCTAAACATGCTCAACGGTGCACGTCGTTTGGCGACGAGTATCATCGCCACTTTTATGATTTGCGCTGGCATTACAGACTATGAATCTGTTGTATAGACAACTGAAAGTATAACCGATGCATCGAACTCGTACATCACTATCTTTTCTGCTTGAGTTCAAGTTGGCATAGTTAAACAACTACGATCTATGCTCCGAAGTACAGAGAATTTATTTGTCACGATTCGCGTTACCAGTGGTTGGAATATGTTGTATCGCCCCCGTCTGCTTCCGCCCACTCCCGGTAGGGAAAATACGAGTAAGCCGGAACCGGAATATATCTGTCTCATTAGGCAATATCGTTTTCTAGGAAGCAAAGGAATAAATGGGTATGCTGCCAATCATTGAGATTCGAGCGCGTTCACATCTTGAGCTAGACTTCACTACTAGTGAGTGAACGTAGGTTTGCACTGAACTGAGTTCCATTCAAATGCAGTAGATTAACTTATTTGACTCGCTACCCTGACGCAGGGGTCGCCAAACTTTATTCTCAGCAAGCCGGGTAACCAACAAAATGACGAGCGCAGACCGCCTTTTAGATTTCTGAACAATACTCGCTGGCCAAAATAAAAGTTCTGGCAAAACGCGGAAACAGCGTTAAGCCTTCCGTGTTTTGCATGGATAAGTGGCGAGCAACGTGCAAAAAACCAAAAAATAGTCAGAAAATTTATTAAGCCAAAATGCTAACGGGGTCGAGATTTAGCACGCATCCGAATGACACAAACTAAGCAGCAAAAGAGATTTGCACTATTTGTGAGACTGAGGTTTGGCTTTTAAAATATTGTCAATGTTTGGTTTGGAATACCTGCATCCAGTTAAGAGAATTGCTTTCAAATGTTTGTCAGTCTCATCAGATGAGCTGACTTCACGTACTGCATTTTGTGTGCATGTTCGCATACACAAGTTGTTCCAAACACTGATGCCATACCAACGATGGTAACGCAAAGCTCTTTGAAACGGTGGAAATGAGAGGTTTTCTCCTTCGCGTTGTGCTTCAATGACATCTTTCTCCGAAATCCATTGATTATTCTGTAGAGATCACAGACCGGGTTTTCCTTTCTATGCAATTTTAAGTAGAGTTCATTCGTGTGGGATATAATGCCGACAAAAATAACATACATAACCTCGAGGTTGGATCTGACAGCTGTAGATCAGCTCGATCATTTTCAGTAAGAAAAGTAGCTATGTCATTTCGGAGCTTACAAAAGGGAGCTAAGACTCTACGGCAACTGAGCCGACTCACTGATGTGTGCTGAGACATGTCACGGAATTCATAAACAATATCTTCCCGAATCGACGATGATTGAGGGCATGTCACCGAATGCAGTTAAGGCTAGAAACAACCTATTTCAGTAGACCAGAAATATCTGAGACTTTGCCACAGTGTGCGTGTTGAGGTACCATTAGTCGGAGAAAATGCGTCTAGTAGCACATTGCTTTCCGCACCAATACGTGCCTGAAGAAAACGCGACGCGTTCCCTCCAAACTCAAACCCTACAATCGGCATAACCGCAAGCGTCCATACGACTGCATGTGAGCTCAGCGTCACACTTCTCACTCTTCCCTTTGGTGTGACCGCATGTGAAGTGCAAACTGAACCCCCAAACTGCACCGTCTAAGGATAAGACGCAGTCGACCACATGATCTAAAGCACACGAGAGGTTTACTAGGCTACGAGTGCGGAGGGACAAGCAAACACTAACTGCGGCGAGCGATAGTATTGGTTCGCCAGCCGTTTCCTTGTCGTGCTATCGTTCAGCCATCTGGAGATGGGTACAATGGTCCCGTACAGTGCCATCTTGGCAGGTCGAATTGCACAACGCATGAGCTGTGGCGGAATTAGCAACGCGTACATGCGCAGTTGGCCTATTGTGCAAGCCCTTGGATAGGCGGCGCGCACTCAGCCTATTGTTCGCTACGGGCAGGCAAGGAAACGCACGTGATAGGCTGAATTAGCAATGCCTGTTGGGGACACAGCTCCCATTAACGTAGACCAGGGTTGTACAAGCCTTTTGCAAGGAGGGCCACATTTTTGAGGTAAAAATATGGGCCATATTCAGTTTGACAATAAGATAACAAAAATTCACATGTACAAAAAACCAAGCCTGAATTTATTGTTTCATAATGGGGCAGCGGGCCGTACGGTTATTTGAATTCAGAAAGTTGCGGGCTAACCTGACCTAGTCGCCAGACTTGTGCACGAGTTGAGACTGGAGACGAAAAACGTGTTACCTAGACCTACTAAACTAAAATCTAACGAGAATTCCTTCTCGGCACTTGTCACACAGTGGTAGTGTCCTGAGGAAAACTCTGTTGATATCAGTGTGGCTTTGTGCGATGACTGCCACAATGTCCTGACGAGAGTTCGCCAGGTTTACTGCAGCTTGTGGAGTGGATGCATCAGCGTACTGAGTAAAGCTTAGTTGCGAATAGACATCAACCTCCTGAAGACGAACGGTTGTTGGTTGGGCAGTCTAAGTCGCCGTGGGGTAATTGTACGTTTGAGATGAGTGCAGCGAAATTTGCGCAAGTTTGGCGGGGCTCTCCCAGCTCCTCAACGAACAGTTGGCCTGGTCTGGATTCACCCCTTGGTAAATAGCAACGCGCGCCCGTAATCTATTTCACTGACCGGTAGTGACCAGGTGAAATTAGTGCGCTGAGAGAAACTGTCAGAAAATTTTTTAGATGAAATTTGTTACAACCCACTTTTCACAACATGGCTCCCTGTGGCCCCTAAAAACCTTTTGCATCAAAGAGCCTTTGGAATTCTATGTGGCCCCCTCGGGGGCCGTAAGGCTTCCGTTGAGGATGGCTGGGTTAGCCAACTGCAGAGCAGGTATTATTACTTCAGCCTTGCGCGTGTGTTTTCTTGCCTAGGTTGAGTGCGCGCTGCCTATCCAAGGGCTTGCACAATAGGCCAACTGCGCATCTACGCGTTGCTAATTCCGCCACAGCTCATGCGTTGTGCAATTCGACGTGCCAAGATGGCACTGTACGGGACCATTGTACCCATCTCCAGATGGCTGAACGATAGCACGACAAGGAAACGGCTGGCGAACCAATACTATCGCTCGCCGCAGTTAGTGTTTGCTTGTCCCTCCGCACTCGTAGCCTAGTAAACCTCTCGTGTGCTTTAGATCATGTGGTCGACTGCGTCTTATCCTTAGACGGTGCAGTTTGGGGGTTCAGTTTGCACTTCACATGCGGTCACACCAAAGGGAAGAGTGAGAAGTGTGACGCTGAGCTCACATGCAGTCGTATGGACGCTTGCGGTTATGCCGATTGGAGGGTTTGAGTTTGGAGGGAACGCGTCGCGTTTTCTTCAGGCACGTATTGGTGCGGAAAGCAATGTGCTACTAGACGCATTTTCTCCGACTAATGGTACCTCAACACGCACACTGTGGCAAAGTCTCAGATATTTCTGGTCTACTGAAATAGGTTGTTTCTAGCCTTAACTGCATTCGGTGACATGCCCTCAATCATCGTTGATTCGGGAAGATATTGTTTATGAATTCCGTGACATGTCTCAGCACACATCAGTGAGTCGGCTCAGTTGCCGTAGAGTCTTAGCTCCCTTTTGTAAGCTCCGAAATGACATAGCTGCTTTTCTTACTGAAAATGATCGAGCTGATCTACAGCTGTCAGATCCAACCTCGATGTTATGTTTTCTCGAACTAATGTTTGGATGCAGGGTATTCGTAGAGCGTGCCGGAATTTCATAATCTTCCAACTGAATCTTGATCTGCCGTTCCCAGACTCAATCGAGCCGTTTTCCCTTTATCAACTGCAATACGTCGAGGCCGATTCCCCAGAGGGTTATAGCGTTGCGCCATTTTGTTCACCTTTCTGTTTGTCTTTTCACGCGTGCCGCAGATCAAGGCCAACTGTTTCCTTGTGTGTAAACAGACACCACGAATGAACACGAAAATTTCTGGCATTCTGAAGTGATCATTGGATTTATCCAGCGTCACAACAAGATTTTTGCCTGCTCGCATATCTTCAGAGCTATGTTTCCTCCAAGTTCTCCTTTTCTCTGCACAACTGAACTTGCCGAAAGGCTCTCGGTTTCCAACAAATCGGATATCTAAAAACACAAATCATTCACTGCTTCCATTATACACTCTGCTTAATGCCGTAGTAATGAGGCTGGACCTTACCGTGGTGCGATGGTTTGAGTGCCTCAGTGATCCATTGAGCTATGCTGGGTGGTGCATTTTTGCACCTTCAGACCCACTCGTACCTGATTGGTCAATGATTAGAGGCCAGATAAACTTAGCCTCCTGGTCCTCCAGGTTGGGGGTTGGAATGAGGTGCCTCCTTATTCCTTAAAACAGACTCCTTGTAGCTCAACGCCAAACCCGCTGCCTTGCAGTCAGGTTTTTGAACCAAGGGTTTGGTTTGAGAACCCTAATCGTTCTCCTATCTAGGTCTCAGCAACCTGATAGTATTCTGCCCACGCCATTCGTCAAACAATTTCTTGATGCTTTGGCCACCGCTTAGAATAATCAAAGGTGCCCTCTCTGCTACATCGATCAGGGTGGAGAGGGGTTTGAATGCTATTGCTCAAGCCTTCCCGTCTTATTATTCCCCCTCCTACGCTTTTTCACTCTTATCATCCCGTTCCAACTTCACTTATATCCCCCCAGTTTTCAACCCCCCTCCCGATTCTTGACCCTCCCCCAACATGTTTTGCTAGGCATTTAGCTTCTAATTTTGACTCACATGCTAACGCGGAGCATCACTCCTCTCCTGTCGACAAGCCCATGTCCAACCAAGCGGTCCACTCCAGTTCATCGGCTTCCATTTGGAGCCCTCGATCCTCCTTCAGATTGGCGTTCCTCAA